CTGCGGCTCTGGGCCCCGGGCGGCCGGGGGGGGGAAGTAGGGGGTGAAGTTAATCTGCAGAAGCGAATGTCTGAGGGAAATCAAAACAGCCAGCTAGCAGGCCCTCAGGAAAGGTGTCGGGGCGGGCTGCAAACCGGGTGTGAAACTACAGCTTTGAGATAACTGGTATAAAGGGAAATAATCGTAGTGAGAGTTACGCGATCAGGGAGGTATCCTGAGGAGCCTGGTGCTGACGGTGGGGGTGAAGTAAAACAGGTCAGTGTTCTACGGGTTTTGGAACACTTTTAAAGGAAAACAACAGGTATACGTTCTCTATGAATTTTGTGTCTTCATTTTAGTCTTTATCAAATGATGCAGTAGCTTGTATTTGCTCCAGTGACGAAATGTGCCATAGCTTTCATTTTTTTTAACTCAGACACCGTCATGAGTGGAAAGAAAGAGCTCTTGGTGGATGACAGTTATGGAGAGTTTAACAGGAGGAAAATGAACGCTATAAGGTAGGTGAATTTTGAGATCAGTAACTATTTAATTTTTTTAAGTTCTGACAGTATAATTGTCAGGAAGTAGGATTGAGGAATCGTAGAAAATACTGTTTGTATTTTGCTGTGTTGTGAGTCCATTTTTATATGTTATGTATGTGGGTAAAATACGCGTTCTGTGGGAAGATGGCATTTCAAGGAGGTTCAGGGAAAAAGACATTTTAAAAGCATCTTGATATGTTCTGAAATACAGAGTTACAAGACTACCAGTATCTCATATCTATCTATCTATTTTACAGGTAAATAAATCACTGTAGAACTATTAAATATGTCTTTAGTTAAATAACTTTAATGTGATTTAAATCGATTATGTAACAATCTGTTAATGCGGGTTCTAGTTACCTTAAATGCTGCTTCTGCATACCTAAAAGCTCTAGCACCACCTTTATGGATGATGAATTCATTATCGTAGAACTTCTCAGTTATAGGAGGATAACAGAATTTGTGTGTGTCTGTTTAATTACCTGCACCACCTTCTACGGAATGTCATTTGGTAAAAAGTGAGCAAGCTCAGTTCCAAGAGAGCTGGAAGTCAGAATTCATGTTTGGTTGATACCCCTATGATGTTTAAACTTTATTTTTGCTTGTGAAGGCAGTGTCTTCAGATACTAGAAGAGGATTTTACAGAATCAAAACAGAGATGCAGTAATTTCTGTCATATATCAAAAGCTATGCGAGTGAGAGGTAAGGCTTTTGGATCTTGACTGTTATTACCATAATTTTTGTGGTGTGCAGTATTCGCTGTTAATTTATGGTTTATGTTGTCTATTGAGACAGTAGGTGGGCTGCCAGATTTGATTAATGCATTTTTTATTTACTGTATTTCCAGCACTCAGTAAGAATGGCTAATACCTTTCTCTTTTCTGCTGTTTTTCTTGGAAAAGCTACTGAAAAGTTAGTTTAAAAAAAAGCCCTCCTTTTTTTTTTTCATGAGTTGTAAATTTCTGTGGAGTGTATAGAAAGCATGGATGCTTTATGAAAAAAAAAAACACCAACAATTTCCTGTACTAAAGGTATCATATTTGAATGTGTTTTCTTTCACCTTTTTGCCTAGTCTTCAGCCTGTCCTGAATGTGGCAGCAACCTCATATAGCTAATCATGCAGTTAATGCCCTAATCGTTACATGTGAGTAAGTTTTTGTAATCCCCAGAAAACTTCCATATCTGTAAATCTGGACTTCCATTCCTAGTTTTCGAGTTCTGTCATTACAAATGTTGGTGTCCAATTTCCTACTGACTTCATGAATACTGTGCATGAGCCAGCATTGTGCCTAGATGGCCAAGGCTGCCAACGGGATCCTGGCTTGTATCAGAAACCGAGTGGCCACCAGGACTACAGAAGAGATTGTCCCCCTGTGTTTGGCACTGGTGAGGCTGCACCTTGAATCCTGTGTTCAGTTTTGGCCCCTCACTACAAAAAGGACATTGAGGTGCTGGAGCAAGTGCACAGAAAGGCAGTAAAGTTGCTGAAGAACCTGAAGCACAAGTCTTACAAGGACTGGCTGAGGGAACTGGGGTTTTTTAGCCTGGAGAAGAGGGCTCAGAGGAGACCTTATCACTATCTACAGCTACCTGAAAGGAGGTTGTAGTGAGGTGGGTGTTGGTCTCTTCTCCCAAGTTACAAACAGTGGAACAAGAAAAAATGTCCTCAAGTTGTGCCAGTGGAGATTTGGATTGGATGTTAGGAAATATTTCTTCACCAAAAAAGGTTTTCAGGCACTGGAACAGGCTGCCCAGGGAAGTGGTGGAGTCGTCATCACTGGAGGTGGTTAAAAGCTATGTAGATGCAGTTCTTAAGTATGTGGTTTGGTGGTGAACGTGACAGAGCTAGGTTGATGGTTGGACTTGATCTTGAAGATCTTTTCCAACCTAAATAGTTTTATGTAGAAGACTTCATGTATTTCTCTTTGTTTCATTGATTAAATGCCTTCCAGGAAACAATATTCGCAGCCAAGTGTTTTCTTCACTTGCTTCTGCAGCACTTCATGATGATGGGAAGGATGAAGACACTGATTTATTTGGTTTTTCTGCAGATGTAAGTTGACCCGCAGCTTTCTGTTCAGTAATCACTGTGGTGGTCTGAAATAGTGATATTACAGAATCTTTTGTATTTTTGTTGAAAGTTCTTAAAGCACATTCAGGTACGCTCTTGAGATAAAGGCCTGCACTTTATCTGCTCACCAGCAAGTCTTTGCTGGCTTGTTAAGCAAAGTAGCTACACAGTGTGCCTCTGATGTCCTAAGTCTTGTTTTAGGAAAGCTTAGTTTGCATTTCTCATTATTGCCCCATGTTGTCTATTCTGTTCCACCCTCTTGTCTTGCATGTAAGTGCAAACACTTGCCAAGTATGTCTTTTAAAAAAAAACACCACCAAAGCAAACTTTCCCTGTCAGCTCCCAAATAAAAGGACTTCAAATATTATTTAAAAAAAAAAAATACTTTGCACAGTTATGAAGATCTTAGATATTTCTGTTTCTGCATTTTTAAAAAAATGCTTAACTTCTGAGTATTTTATTTGTTATGACATTCTGTTTCACAGAAATCCATACTTTGGAAAAACATTACATGCTTTAAAAAAATAATAATTTTGCAGAAGATAGGATGTGGCTATTCTGTTTTTTACTGTTATGAAATTAAGATTCAGCATTTATTTCAAAGCACAAATAAGTCATCTTTCAAATTAAGCCATGTCATTTGACTTCATTTTAAAAAAAAAAAAGGTAATCGGGTTCACTAATGCAGTCAGGATGTGGGGTTGCTCATTGACAGCCAGCTGACCAGTGAGACAGCAGTATGCCCAGATGGCCTAGAAGACCAATGTCATCCTGGTGTATCAGGAATGGCATGGCCAGCAGGACTAGGGCAGCAGTTTTTCCTCTCTACTCAGCACTGGTGGGGCTGCAGCTCAAGTACTGTGTTCAGTTTTGAGCCCCTCAGTACATGAAAGACATTGAGTTGCCAGAGCGAGTTCAGAGAAGGGCAACAAAGCTGGTGAAGGGTCTAGAGAACAAGCGTTATTGGAGTGGCTGAGGGAACTGGGGTTGTTTAGCGTGGAGAAAAGGGCTCAGAGGAGACCTTACAGCTCTCTACAGGTACGTGAAAGGAGGTTGTGAGGTGGGTGTTAGTCTCTTCTCCCAGGTTACAAGGTGGCCTCAAGTTGTACCAGGGAAGGCTGTAGATGGGGGTCACGTTTACCAATCTCCAGTCTACTGAGAGCTCCCTGTTTACCCAGTTCTGCTGGTAAATGATGGAAAGTGGCTTAAAGGTCTTTTCCAACCGAAACAATTCTATAATTCCGATCTCTTAGAAGTTTTGCATAATAGTGGGAAAATACTAAGAGCAAACAGAAAATCAGGAATTCTTTTACTAGGAACACTTGTCATTTGTCACAAAGGTACACTGATGGCTACAGAGCTTTGACTTCAATGCTGTTTTCTTACATGTCTGGTTGCTCAGTTCAGCAGCATTAGCTTTGGAGCTTGGTCTCATTGAAGTGAGTTGGGTGGATACTGAAGATGAAAACAGGCTTATTGAACATTTTTTACTGTGATTTGGATTTAACCCTCAGTTTGAACTTGTTCTACCTTTTCCTTTTCAATTTAGATCAAAACTGATTATAAACCTGAGGTGTGTGGTGACAACACACAAAGGCTAACAAGGTAAACGTTTGTAATTTTAGATGTTTTTTATGTGTTTAGATGCCAGTCTGGGGAAGGAGAGATGTTTATGTGTTTAGATGCCAGTCTGGGGAAGGACTTGACTGAGCAAGCAGTTCCAGCTGCTTTTCTTGAGCTGAGTTGTTGGGGTTTTTCTAATATATTCTCAGTATGGCTGGTTAGTACTGTCAGATCACAACTTTCTCCACACTTCAGTCAAATAACATTTTGTTGAAAGGCAATAAGAAACAGATTGGTGTGGCTTGAAAATGTTTGTAACTCAGTGTTTTAAACACTGTGGTAGCTCTCTTGTAAGGGTTCAGAGGGAGAATGCTGAAATGCCAGGCTGAGGTATGAGAAGTGCCTCCTCTGGCCTCCCCCACCCTACTTTGTGCCTTTTGTTTAGATAACCAGTCACAGCTATGAAGATCAGATGGCAGCAGTGTCCTGTGGTATAAAGTGGGTGTCTTTCCCCCAGTGCTGTTGCTGTGGAGATTCATGTTTATACAACTGAGAATAGGCCCAGATAATTCTTACATACATGTTACATAAGGAATCTGGTCTCTGCATACCTGTTCTGTAAGGGAGATAAAATTTATTTTCTGAGATAGATGCATGTGCTTTACTAACATTGCCCAAGGTAAAATAGAAACTCCTAATTTAATATAAGGTTGTCAGACTCTGCAGCAGTGTTCTCAAAATCCTCTTAGTCCATCAGAAGCAGCAAACTGATCACAAGAACACCACAGTGCTTCCTTCCTGTAAACAGGCTGGTTTATGCAGACTGTTTTTGTGAGTCTTGACTGCTATTTAGATCCATGTGTACTTTGCAGAACAGCAGGGATGGATGACCATAGAACAGAATTTAAGAGCTTTTCTAACAAGTTGTCAGTAGATGGTTTCAGTATAATCAGTCACATATTCTAAAGATTTTAACAGCTTTATTTATGTCTATATGAAGGAGAATATTTGGGCAACAAATGAAAAATTCTTCCTGGAATGTTAATGGTCGTGCGTTTTTCTTGTATTGAGGCTACAAATCACCACCACCTACTAAGGTTTTGTTCAGCCTTGCTAAAGATGAATTTTAAGATTCAGGTAGTAGAAAGGAAACTTTTTGAAACATAAGGTGTCTGTAGAATATCACACTGAATTCTGGCATCTTAAAAATAGGTCTGTGTATGCATTTAATGACAGATTGTGAAATACTCTAATTGTTTCTGAAGTATTTGTGGGAAGCTTGATAGTAATTAAAATGTGCAGATTTTTTTTCTTAAAGCTTTGTTTTGCAGGCATTTCAGTCACAATACTGAAGGAAATGTTGCGCACCTAGTTTCTTCAACCAGTGGGCTGAGGGAGAAGCCAACTTTAGCTCCATCAGCAGACATGGTGTGTCAATACGGATTTTTCCTTATATTTTCACTCATTAGTTTGTATATGCATAGTTAATATTTCACTTCTTAAAACAGAAAAGTTTGCACCATGGTAGTTATGTGCTGTTATTCCATCTTATCACAGGACTCATGCAGCTACAGTTTTAAGAAAATAACTTGATAAAGTGAATGAAGCTCAAACCCAACCTGATAAATAGATGAGGACGGCTAGTGTATTGTCCTGGCTGTGAAACTATGTGGTTTTAATTTAGCTTTTTTAAAAAAACACCTGAGGCTTCACAATATTTGGGTTTAGGGCTTTTCTATTTATTTATTTATTTTATTTGAGACAGCTGCAAGGCTGCCGTCACTTGGGGCAGCAGGGTTGCTGGGTAGGTGGCTTTCTGTTGATACATTCTATTAAGTTTTCTAACCTGGTATTTTAAAGGAGCTTTGCGAAGGTGAGCTAATGTTGTGGATATTTTAAAAGGACAGAATAAAGTGGAAATGAAAGATACATTCTGTGCCAGTCCTGTTTTCATCTATGGAGACTGTCCTGTAGTCATCTTTAAAGAACCATAACTTGCAAATGTCAATCTTTGCTTCTTAAGTAGTTTTGTTCAGTGCCTATTGAGGTTTGAAAATGGTTTTCTTTGAAGGGGTTTTTGAAATAAAGCTATATGATGTTATATTAAACTTTAATAAATTACCGTTGAAGAAATACTACAGGAAATATCCTGAAGATATCTTTGAAGTATCTTCAGTTTGCGGTCATAAGTAATATTTTGATGATAGTCATCTCTTCTGTTGACAGAATATTTTCTTTTTTTGGAGAAAGTTGTTGAGAATGAGCTCATGTGAAAACCCACATCTTTTGACTTCCTAGTCTAACTGCTACTTTTGTTTCCTAAGTTTTTTTCAAACTCCTTTATTTTGTGGTTGGTGATGACTAGGTCGTATTGAGTGATGCAATACTGCCAGAGTATATCCATGCCTTGAGTTGTGGAAGGATTTTTATTACTGTGTCATAGTTCATAAAGAGAACCCCAGAGTCAAGAGGGCACAGTGTAAATTCCGTTACATTTTTACCTATTATGTCTCCTAGCATCCACTAAAAATTGAGTGGGAATAGTTGTCATAGGGAAGTACTCCTAACAGGGTTAACATCCCTGACTTTTTGGGGATCCTCGGCTGATTATGTTCTCATTTTGCTTTTAGCAAAGTACCTGTACTCTTTAACACTAACTTTAGTAGTGCCAGTGACAAAATGAGGTATTCTGTAAGTGTATTTGCTTTTGTACCAATTAATATGCAACAATTTTGTTATCTTTTCTTGCATTAGCGTAACACTTGGAGTTTATTGCATTGTTTTAATTTCTCTTGTTTTTCCCCAAATGATGGTCCTAAATATTTTATCTATGCTGCAGTATTCCCAGTATTCTTTCAATCTTACATGTTTTCTTTCCTCTGTTTATTTTTCTTTTCCTTGTGTACTGTTTTTCCATATGTTATTTTTGTGTATGTGTGTGTGCAAGTAAATTGCATGTATCTAACAAAAAAATTTAGAATCCCTGTTTCAGGAATACTCGGTTGTAAATGTTCTCAGCGTAAAGCTAAGTATTTTGGGTCTGGTTGCATCAATAGAGCTGCTCAGATTCTACAGAGATGATGTTACAGAGATTCTTACAGACCCACATCAAGTGCCTCTTTATAAAAATGGCAAATGACTATATCCTCTCTTTGTCTTCTAGTCATACTAGCAACTATATATTAATTGGCAAGTCTTTCCTCAGGACAGAAAAACTATGGAAGATATTGATGAAACTTTGAGCATAGCCACTTGTAATCTTGGCCACTTACATGATGCAGATGAGGTGGGTGAAAATATGAAACATTAAATTCCTTGATTGAAGCTTTTTGTTGTGTTGGTTGTTGTTTTTTTTTGCGGTAACGTGCTATTTAAACATGCTTTTACTGTCCTTTTTTTGGCATCTCTTCAGTTCTTGAACTGTTTGTGCTTGTTGTATACAGGTTGTTGTATACAGGTTTAAACTCCAGGCTGTTATGTGGAGTTTACAGACTAAAGTCTGTAAAGGAGTACATGAGCCTATGCATAAATTGAAATTACTAGGTCAATCCATGTATTTAGCAAAACCATGTAAAAGCCAGTCTTCAAGTACTAAGCTTGTGTTTACTTGGATCAGGGTAAAATTCAGAATTTGCTTTTGCTCTAGCAACTATGCTAGGTTTCTAGTTTCCACTTTCCTTTCCCTGGATTTAAAGATGGAAGAGAAATTATCTGGGCAACAGAAAACAATATGCAAAATCTGTAAATCTAGTAATGCATTTTTATGCATGGTATGAAGAAGATGAGGAATCCTAAAATACTGGATAATGCTGTTACAGGTTTTACTGAGAAACCTATGTACTTCATAAATGATAATAATTTTTTAAAAACTTTTAACTCCTATTAAATATGCTGTGGAAAAGCTTGCACTTATTTCTTTGCCATTAATTTACATTTTATATGAATTCCAAGATAGCCAGACAGAGAAGTGTTTAGTGATCCAAAAGCTTAAAGCGAATTCATTCTAGTAAGTGTGGCATGAAGTGTCCTTAAAACCTCTTTTTCATTCCCTTTCTAACTTGTTTTGTTGCTGTGACTGATCTGTCAGTTAAGCAAAGCTTTGTTAAATACCTAATTCGTGAGTGAACAGCACCCTGTGAAAACCCAGCATTTCAGCAGCTCTAATGTAACAACTCCAGCAGTCAGTTGTGGTCTTCCAACTACTTTTCAGCAGAGACCGAGAACTGCCAAAGCAGTGTTGCATTACTGAGAGGGTTTTTTTTCCCCATAGTCTTTTCATTAAATGTAACTGTAGTGACAAAACTGATGCTTAGCCAGAGGAGGAAGCTTTATTGTTTTACTTTATGCTCACAAGTATTTAAAAAGAAGAAAAATAAATTGGTGTTCTAGTTAATCTGTGAATGGTGCTGCATTAGAATGTCAAGTAAGGTAAGTGAGGTACTGGGGCCAAGATCTGTGGTTTTGCCTCATAGACCTAAAGACTTCAGTTGACATGAGGATCCAGAGAATGCAAGCTGACCAGAAGTTAGAGAAAAAAAAGGGCTATGTTTTTTCCTCCATTGTATTATGTAGTTATCCTCCAATTTGCTTGTTTTCCTGTTTTACTTTTTTAAATACCAACTGCAGTGTGATTTACTGTCATTTTCTGCTAGCGTATTGATTGCTTACTGTCCCTTGCTTCTGTTCTGAAGAAGAAAAATAATGTGGGAGTAATGAAATACTAAATGCATGTTGATTCAATTCTGAATTGAATAGGTGCTGAACCACTTGGAATTGAAAGTGAAGCAGGAAGGAGACAAAGTTGCAGAAACTGTAGATGGAATGTTTTATGAACTTATTAGTTCTCTACTGTCAAGGTAGTAATCTGGTTTCTAGGATGGGGGGACAAATTGTTTTTATCAAGAAGATGTTTCTAGTTTAGATTAAAGAATTCTAGATAAAATTGCAGTCTTCCTTGTAGCAGTGCTTCTTAGTACTTTAATTTTTGTACAGTATTTTTGTCCTTACATAGTGGCATCTTGGAGCTGATTTGCATGATTGGAAAACTAGCATATGCAGCCTCTGCTCATTAAAAAAACAATTTAAAACTCAACTTAGAATAGTCCTAATGCAGACAGTTTTCTGAAATAGCTAAATTATAAGGGTTTTTTGGTATTGTCAGTAGTGGATGACAAGTTCAGCAGCAAGAATAACTTATTTATTTTCTTTCTGCAAATTTTCAAGCTGATAGAAGCCCAAGGATGCTATATTTCTTAATTTTCAAAAATACTGCTATCTTTTCACTGTTTGAGAAAAATGGTCTGTGAGATGTATCTGCTTTGTATTGTAGTATAGCAGTTGTGTGTTACAGTTGAAGTATGAGTCTCTATAGCTAAGTGATTATTCAGAGAAGTAATTTTTTCATACAGGAAAAAGAAGTTATGTGCAGAGTTAGTGAAGAGCATTGAAGACTACAACGCTAGTATTGCAAAAGCTAAGGAAGTCATTGAAGAGAAGAAAAAGTGCTTGATTGGTGCCATTAGGATTGCAAAAGAAATAAAAATTGCACCTTTTGTAAGAACCTATTGTGATCTTGCTCAGGTAGTTATATTCTTGCACTGTGAAATAATTAATTTTAATCTATACATTCAAATTTGGATTGAAAGTTTCTGTGATCTGTCTTTCAGTTTGCTGACTTCAGTAGTGAGATTTCTATAGTAAAGTATTTTTGTCCCACTTCCACACACACGCACACAGTTTATATTTGGTCTTGGTGACAAATTAGGGTCTAGTGGCTGACGTGAAAAAAGAAAAGATGGTCCTTGCCTTGAAGAGCTTTTTTCTGAAACAGCATATGCAGGTAGAGGACAGGAAAACAGTGACATGGTACTACTGATCAATGAAATAGTAGTGTTTTCACAGAATCACAGAATTTTTAGAGTTAGAAGTGACCTCAAAGATGATAGAGTTTCAACTGCCCTGCATGGGCAGGGACACCTTCTACTAGAACAGGCTGCTCAGAGCCCCATCCATCCAGCTTGCCTTTGAACACCTCCAGGGATGGAGCCCCCCACATTTCAGCACTTCAGAAGTCTCTCAAGCCTTTCTGAGTCCAGAGCTCTCCTGCCTTCTCAGCGAACTATACCACCTTCTCAGTAGCTGTTTGTACAAAAGGAAAATCTGGCTCCTGCTTCTGTTTACATTACAAAATCTCCAGTCATTAGGTCTTAGCAATGTAAGAAGGCATAGAGAATTGGCTATTGGCTGTTAATGAGTAAACTCTTGGGGTTTTTTCTTAGAGATTACATACTCTGGCTTTGTTACATTGTAAATAATAGGTGCCTGTATAATACAGTTTATTATATAATAAAGTCTAAGACTCTACTTCTTTATTTCAGGTTATGTATAATTTAAAGTTGCCAGTTGATGCTGAGCTCTCAACAGTGAATAGTTTGAAGGAAGAAGTATCTCCAAGGTAAGTGACTGAAGCAGGAGGTATATTGGGAGGCAAATGGATGCACTGGTTATCTTAATTACAAAAAGTTTTCATTTAACAGTTAAACAGCAGAAATCAAGCTGCTTCCCTTGTATTTTACTGAAAAGCTGCCATTTTGGATGTATATAAGCTCATCATTAAAAATGCACAGAAGCCTTCATCTGAGCCAGCAGGGAGAAAGTAGCAAATTGTATGTGCTATCTCAATAAATACATAAGCATTTAAAAATTCTAGTCAGGCAACTGCTACTTTTACATTTTCTCTCCTTCCCTTAAAGGCAGAAATAAATTAAGGGAAAAAAATACCTTTTTTAAACTTTATTTTTTATTTATCTATTTCTCACCTTCAGGAAATAATTAAATGCTTTTTGAGGCACTGATGACTAAGGGGAAATTCTGGAAAATCCCAGTTACCATAGTGCCCTAATTGGAAATGACAAATACAATTTCTATATCAGAAGTGAGCAAGAAAATGTGTCATGGCTGCGGTACAGCTGACTATGCAGCGTGGTCGTGAGGCTGGTCAGAGTACTGTATTCCTTGTGTATAAAAGCCACATTCAGGAACAGTAAAGGAAGTACAGAATGAAGACAGGGTTAGGTTGGAATATCTAGGGCATCCTGTTTTATTTCAGGACATGGAACCAGTCTGGCGGGTGGAGTGGTGGTGTGCCATCAGCTTGTGACTGGCACAGAGAAATGAAGCTCAAAGTTGATCACTTGTATGCAAAGTGTGAAAAATTGTCATAAAATCATTCAGTTTGGAAGACACTTAAGATCTTGAATACAACCATTAGCCTAACACGACCAAGTTCACCACTAAACTGTGTCCTCAAGGGCCATGTCTATGTGTCTTTTAAATCACAGAATGGCTTGGTTTTGAAGAGACCTTTAAAGGTCATCTAGCCCAACCCCTGTGCGTTGAACAGGAACATCTTCAACTAGTTTACCAGGTGGCTCAGACACCTGTCCAACTTGATCTTAAATGTTTCCAGGGATGGGGCTCCTACCACCTCCTTGGGCAACCTCTGCCAGTGTTCCACCACCCTCACTGTAAAAAATTTCTTCCATATATCTAGTCTGAATGTACCCTCCTCTAGTTCAAAAGTATAACCCATTGTCTTTTCATAGCAGACCCTATTAAAAAGTCTGTCCTCTTAGAAGCCACCTTTAAGTGTTGAAAGGCCCTAGTAAGGTCTCCCTAGAGCCTTCTGTTTTCCAGGCTGAACAACCCCAATTCAGCCACATGTCTCCAGGGATGGTGACTCAACCACTTAACTGGGCAGCCTGTTCCAATGCTTGACAAATAAATTACGACTCGTCTCACATGTTTGTTGAGACACTAGAATATGGATAAAGGAATCCATAAAATCAGATTTTAGTAAACTCAGTGAATTGGTAGGTAGGGCCTGTTAGGCAGATAATGTCAGTGGAGAATAAGAATTTCAGAGAAGCCTCTTTAAGTGCACAGTGGCAAAAACATGACAAAACATGCAAGCTGAAATATGAAAAAATCAAATTTGGTTACATTGGAAGACTTTTTAAGCCTTCTTAAGGACTTGAACAGAAGAGAGGGAAAAGGAGATCTGATGAAGGTTGTGTAGAAAGTCCTCACATGCTGTTTCTACTCTTAAATAACACTGACTGTGAAATAGCACAGCTAGAAGCTGTGTAGGAGTTGAGACATGTTCATAGAATACTGTTGAATGAAAGGTAGATTCCTGAAGGAACAGGGGATGGGAAGAAAGATGGGCTAGCTTTCATTGGGAAAGGCAACAGCTGTTATTATTAATGTAACAATAAAAAAAAAGAGTATATATTTTGGACTTCAGTTATGGTTTTGTTCTTCAGGAATGTTGGAGAATTCTTTTTCCTCATGTAAAGTAATTGAACTAAACTGAGTATAGGTGTGAAAATTCACTAAGAGAATGTTAGAGTACTCTGTGCATGAGAGAGAGAGAGCTACAGGCCAGAGTTTTTAAGTAGGAATGTGAAGGTAAATGAGTAACCAGATCTATTAATAGGAGTGGAAGATTGAAACTGGAGTGGGTGGATTAAGTCTCTTTACCCCTTCATTAATATTGTGCTGAAAAATACATCTCTCACTTTTGGAGTGATTTAGGTATTCGTGTCACCTTCTGTAAATTTTTTTTCTCTTCTCTTAAGGTTCTTCCTAGACATGGATAAGATTACATCTTTGTTTAAAAATCTGGGCAAGATTGAATGGGGAACAACAGGGCAGTAAGTATTTTTTCAGTAAAGAGGATGGGCACAGGAACTTAACCTGTTTTTTCTAATGGTTAAATATTTTTGGACATACAAAGATTTAAAAAAAAAAATCTGTATGCTTTTGGGTTTCTGGGAGTATAATGAAACAAAGCAACACTTCAGATGCTGGTATTTCAATCAGCACTCCAGTCAATCCAGTTAGTTTTTCAGTTCTGACATTTCCATTGTATTTGTATTTCACCCAACTGTATTTCATACTACCACACAAATTGTCGAGATTTTTTCATACTATGTGTTTTTTCAGTTGTGGCTGGCTTTTAATGATACTGTCATTCCAACCATTTAGGTTGGAAAAGAGCTGTAAAGCTGTCGTTGCCAAGCTCACCACTGAGCACCACATCAAGACGTTCATGGTACATGTATTAGACATGTTTACAATTTCAGCATGAGAATAATTACTTTATGTTTAAGTGTATCTCAAAATGAAGAGCAAATACTGTAATTTACAGTATTTCCACTTAACAATCTAAATACTGGTTGTGTCAAATGCCAAAAGAAATTACTTAAGATGAACTTGAACCAGAAAAAACCTTAGTTTTCATTTTTAAACTTATAATTTCCCTTTTTTTTGTTAATTCTTTTTATTTAATTTTCCCCCCAGTCTTTGACGAAAGCAAGAAAATGGAATGGAGTTGCTGTTAGGGACATTTTAGTTAGCATGGGTTGTTGCATACCTTAGTATTTGAAAATCCTGCAGATTACAGTGAAGAGTAGCAGTTAGAACAAAAGCACCTTACATGCCGTTTGTTTTTAACATGCATCGTCTATCATATTATTGTCATTTTTTTTCAAATAGGTTGTATCTGAACCTGTGGTCTCTGACCATTTAAGCAGTGGCAGCTCTTGTACTGGGCTGTGTCCAAGAGTACGTACCATGTTTTGTAGGGTTCAGAAATCATGTTACTGTTTTTGTTGTCTTGGTATTCAAAAACAGTTTATTTCAGCCAGCTTTTGTGAAGTATTTTCTTAACACCATGCTGTGCTCTTAATAAAACCTCTGCTTTGACGTGTGTGCTTTTCTGAAAACAGATTGGATTATATTAATTTGACTCCAAATAAATATTTTCTCAAATATAGTAAAGATGATGGACAAGATGCTCTTACCCTTGATGACAAAGAGAAAATGCCAGGCTGCCATATTCAATCATCTGTAGAGAATGTATTTCCAGCACTTAGCAGAGAAAGGAAAGTACAGGTGCTTGCAAATAAACTTGGTGTTCACAAAGAAGTGAAAAATTTGCAAGTACAAGAAACGCTTCCTATGGTATGTCACCAGAGAATTCCTGCACTACCCAAGTCTCCAGCCAGCCCTGATGTCATAATAGAAGAGATACTTGAAGATGAAATGGACAGTAAGTTTCTTAATACCTGATGCTTTCAGTATTTCATTGTTGAGCATGATGTTATTTATGTGGTTTGTATTTTGTGTGTTTGTATACTCTGCTTCTATGAATTCTTTAATAGTGTCTGTATTTCACTTTTATCCTTTTTATCCTTTTTTATCCTTCACTTTTTATTCCTTTGAGCTAGTACTGTTGTGGATTTTTTCCCCCTTCCAGCTTATCTTAGTGAAAGACTTCTCACAGGTTCTTCTCAAAGTTCCTGTGTCAGCCTGGATGATTCTCTTTGATTCTTAGTTAATATGGCCATCCTGGGAGTTTCTGACATTGGCTTCTGGAGGATGTTTTTCTGGCAGTTCCCTTGGCTTCCTGAATCTTCTCCTAGGGCAGTGTCCTAAGTTAACTGTCAATAACGATTGGGTTCTTCAGGTTGACAGGTTTTCCCTGGGCTTGATTAGTAAGAGTGTAGCTGACAGGTCCTGGAAAACTGATCCTTCTCCTCTGTTAGGCTCTTGTGAAACTGAATCTGGAGTATTTTGCCCAGTTTTGGACCCTGCAGTAATTAAAGTCACTGTAATAGTGGAGCAAGTCTAGCAGATAGATACTACCAAGGTGGTGTCCAGGAAATAGGTTCTCAGGACTTGGGCTGAAGGTGTTTGGAACATGGAAATTACATTTAGATAATAGGGGGGGTAGGCAGATACCTCCCACAGAATAACTAAGATCCCCAGCTTTGGAGTGTTCAATGCCCACAGCATACCTAGAAAATCCCTGTGGTTAGTTATTCTGGGGGAGGATGAGGGACAGTAGGGATGGTGTATGAAAGTAACTGCGGTAGCATATAGCTGTGATGAAGGTGAAGTAAATTTTGGAGCTCAGGTACAACTGTTTAAAATAACATATTCCAGAATCTTACTGAACTTTATAAAGCTCTTTTGAGAACACGATTCCTTCAAGCTGCAGTGTTAAGAGTTTTGCATGTCCTGAAAAAAAAAAAAAAAAAAATTATTATTGTTCTGTAGTTTTGGAATTAGCATATGGGCTGACCATGTGCAGATATTTACTGTGTGTCCATCTATTTCAGGCACATTGGATAGGAGAATTTTGTCTTCGTAGTACCCTTGCAATACATGTAATTTCTCTTTACTATGTTTGCTGCTTTACTACATACGTGTAAAAACTAACCTAATTCATTGAACTTTTCTGCTAAAACAATGAACAGAGTCTCCTACAGAATATCATGCTGATGAACAGAGGAAGAAACTCTTCAAGAGGGAAACCCCTTTTCAACACAAAGCTGGTTAGTGGTTTCCCTATCTGGTGAATAGTTTAGTTTGCTAGAAGGGATCCCCTCCTCTAAACAGTCAGAACAGGCACTGGAATTTGTTGGAGAGTTGGACATATGTTAGCATTCTAGTTGAGATCAGGAGTATACTAGGAGACCTAACCATGTGTTTGTTCACATGTAAGAGCAGACTTGGGGCACCTTAATTTCTTCCAGTTAAAACTAGTCTGCAAGGTGCTTACAGTGCAGATGTCGTTCTTAGCACTAGCAATTTTGCTCTGCAAAAACACTTCCTGGTCTGTTGTCCTTGGTAATAATGTAAATACTGTACCAACTTTTTAAGATTTGCCGTAAAACAGCTTAGCTGGAAAATACAAGAAGTCCCAAGCAGCTTCTAGAAATTCAACACTGGTGGTGTTTCCCAACACCTGGCAGGTATTTCACGTATCAATAGCAGTGCTTGCTGTGAATAGCGAGACCCATTTCTTAGGTCAGTAGTTTTATATACTGATTTTTGAACCATTGTCCTCTCTCCGCTAGTATTGGGTTTTCTTCATTGTAAGTGAGCAGATAAATGTACAAAAAGAGAGTTATTTGAGGAAGTAAGTTACTTCAGTCAGTAATTCTGTCTGTAGGCACAGTTTGTACAGTTCTGAGCTTTGTTCGCTGTTGAGTAAGTGAAAATAAAAATGGAAGAGTAGGGGTTGCACCATTAGGAGAGAAAGCAACTGACCTAAGAAGTTGACTAAGGAAGAAGCAGATGTGGACAATACTGCTGCAAAAGATGGACACAAAGTAATATTAGCAAAGAAATTTGCTTTTTTAATTGTTTGGGTCTTTGGTTGGTTTTTGGGTTTTTTTCTTTGTTGGTTTGGGTTTTTTTTAACCTTGGGAGTAATAAAACTTGCTTTCTCTTGACAATTTCCTGTCCAATAACTAGAGAATTCACTGTCTGCTCTTAATGTGACTTAACAGAGTATTATAGAATTTGAGCACTTTTAAGTCCATAACAAATTCTGTGGAAATAAGTAGTTAGCAGAGAAATCTCCTGATGCCCATACCGAAGGTAGTGTGGTGTGGTTACATGTCAAAGAATTTGCATTGAGGAACACCTCACAGCTGTCACAGCCCTGCCATATTTGAGCCTTCCCAGGTACTCGAGTATCTCTCGCAAATACACTCAGAGAGACAAGATCTTGAGAGATTACATGATCATAGAGTTACTTGATGTGGTTGTTTGTTTAGTAGTATGCTAAAGTATGTATTTTGTACAATAGTGGATTTTTTTTATTATGGGAAACGTAATTTTGCTATGAGTTTTTAATTCTAGTCAGGTTAGTTATCCCATGGATAATAATAAATATCTCAACTTCTTTTCATGTAGATGTGGTTTATTTGGATTCTTTTATTGAATTTAGTTTAAGAAATGTTCTCAGTTTAAAGGCATCTCTTCTGGATCATTGTCTGGCTCCAGTGGTCCAGAACTGACCCAGCTCCTGTTCTGTTTTTGGCTTGAGGTATCATCTTTCACTGATCCAGTTTAGTCAAGATTAATACATGCTTTTCCTGGTCTACTTAAGAGAAGGTAGCTGACTCATCAGGTCATTGGAGATGGTATCCATATGTGATACGGAAGATTAAGTGTACATATAGCTGAAATCTTTCCAGTCATTCTGACTTTTTACTCAGATACCGTCTTTTCCACTAGAAATGCCAAAACATAATCTTGCACCTGTTCTGGACACAGCGTTTGCTAAACTTCCAAGCACAGGCATGTGGATGTGCTTAAAATGTTTCGAGTGTCAGATTCTTTTTACCATCTTCTGTCCATGATCAGTTGTAGTTCAGAGATGGACACAGAGATGACAGTGCTCTAGGATGCTGCAAGTACCTCTGTCTGCTCTGACTGCCCATGTCAGTCACACAGGTGGCATTGGATCTAGATGATGCTATCTGATCTTTACCAGAAGTTTTGTGCTGTAAAATACTCTCAAGGGATTGAGTTGCTTGGCTTCTAAAACTTTCTAGCCCATCTGCTACCTTTGGTGAGTAGTTTCAGAAAGCAAAACCTGCATTTTGGATTCTAAATCCAAAATACAAAGGTTATGGATGCAGAAGTACTGCCTTAGGTAGGGTCATGTCTTGGCTAGCTCTAGGCCATTCATGCATTATCACTGAGTAGCTATACCGGAAGTGTTTATCATGTCAGTCTCTCTAATTTACTTACTAGAAGCTTCCCATTTCTATGTTAAACAGGGAATGCAAATCCTGAAATACCTACTTTAATTCAGGGGACTACTTTGTAAGCAGCCTTTTGTTTCACAGTGTAGTTCAAGGGAGGTAATTCCAAAGATTGGATTTAATCAGAAAGTAAACAAACTAATGTGAAAAAAGTGTGAGCAGACTAGTCAGATGAGAAGCTATTTTAGGTAACATTTTAATGATTAATGCAACATAAGCCTGATCACGTCTAATAATCAGTTGGAGTCACTTGGAGAGTGTTTGATAATCTATTTTATTTCTTACTTAGGTTCAACAGAGCTAGTGTTTGTAAGCCATGTTATAAATCCGTGCCACTTCTATGTTCAGAGATACTCACAGAAGAAAAAAGTAATGGTTTTGGAGAAGAAATTGAAAACCTTTTGCTGTAATAGGAGTTCTTACCTCTTGCCTTCAGACGTTTTGGAAATAGGTAAATTATTAATTTCCAAAGGTCTACATTAAATTAAAATACTATCTTGCAGTATGTCTTAGTGTAATTTTTTTCCTCTTCTCCTTCCTCCCCCACTGCCTCTCCTGTACATAGTAAAATAGTCCTTGTATGTTCCTCAATTTACAGTTAATGCTTTTGGGGAAACATTGTACACATTGTTTGGTAAAGTAGACTTCTGTTTATATAAGAGCAAATCATACAAATGCAAATGGTAGAAGTAAAAAAGACTCTGCAGTTCTTCTCAACCTCAAAGAGTTGAGTGCTTAGAGTAACCAGCAGTTGAAACATCTGGCTGTAAACTTCAGGTTTTCCAACATTAGGTGGTAATTGTTAACTGATTATTCTTTTTCAGTATACAGATTTTGATGTCCAGCCTAGTTCTTTCTTTACTTAAGTAAATCAGCTTTCTCTCTGCAACCAACATTTCCTTTGATTGGATAGATTTATTTTTTTTTTAAAGACAACTAACTGAATAGAAACCATTCTGGAAATAAAAATGTAAGATAATAATGCATTGCTAAATCATTAACATTATTTTCTAGCCCCTCACATTGACAATATTTATTACTCACTTTTTTAAAGTGTTAAAACTGACGAAAAAGCATGGAATAGCTCTCAACTTCATAGAAATTACATCTTGATACAAGCTAAACACCTTCTAGCCTCACAGACCAGAAACCAGTGTGGGGTGAAAACTTCAAGTGGCTACTGAAAAAAGTTTTTTCATGTCTTTGTGTCTTGGTTTTGGCAGTAGCACTTGTAGTACCTGTGAGGAAAGTAGACACTATTGAACATTATGCAGACTGTCATACTTGCAGTGTGAAATATGTACAAATACTGAGTTTAGTCTTTCTGGTTTTTTATTTCCTTCCATATAGGTGCTAGAACTTTTATTAAGAGTAAGGAAACTGGAGTGTGGTGCCGTGGAACTGTCACTGAACTAATTCCCCTAAATAGTAAAAATGAGAGAAAGTTTTGTGGTCCAATAAGATACAAAGTTTGTGATCTTGCACTGATGGAAGTATTTCTGACTGATATCGGGAGCTCTGTAGCTCTGATTTTCTCAGGGTATGTTTACAGAGGCTTTTGTCTACAACTGTTGTCCTTGACAGCTGTGTCTTAGTGGAGATGCTTTTTGATTAACAAGTCCTCTATCAGGTTCACACAAGCAGATTGCCAGATAACCAAATGACACTAGTGTTCTGTATGTACATGTTTCCCAGAGGAAATGTGGTAGTGTTTCTAAGTACACAAGTGTACAGGCCTTTACAAATTACAATGTTTAACTTAGACTTGCATTTCAAAAGAGAACATTAGAAACGGTTATTAAAATTTTATTAATAAAAAATGCCTGTCATTGAGATTTTCTAGTTTTGTTTCAATGACATGACATTATGCCAGTTATTGCAATAATGACCTTTATTTTAAGTCTGAGGATTGGTTTGGGGTTTTTCTGGTGTTTGGTTGGTGGGGATTTTTGCTTTTCTTTAAGTCAGTAATGCATTTATTCCTATTTACAATAGATATGTTCCTG